GATGAGCGGCTACAAGCGCAAGAAGATCGTCCTCCTCAGCAGCAGTGAGGAGGAAGAGGAGGAGAAGGTAGTTCAGCAGCCGGCAAAGGCCAAGGCTAAGCCAAAGAAGCGAGAAGCGGCTTCGGCGAAGAAGCGCAAGCCGCTGGTGGTCAGTGATGATGATGACGACGACGACGGTGCCATCTCCATCAATGCCATCAAGAAGCAGGCCAAGACCAAGGCCCGGAAGCTGATGAACGCCGACTCGGCTGATGAGGAGGGCGGCAGCAGCGGCAAGAAGGCGGGTCGGACGGCCAACAAAACGCCTCCAGCGCAAAAGAACACCCTCTTCAACTACTTCAAACCGTCCAGCGAGAAGAAGGCGAATGGTACCAGCAGCAGCAGCGGCAGCGGCAGCCAAAGTACTCCTCCTTTCACCAGTGTCAAGGACAAGGCAAGTGGCGAAGAGAAGGAGAAGGAGAAGAAGGCGCCGGTGGAGATTGGCGACGACTTTATGACCACCACGCTGACCAAGGGCAAGCCGGCGGTGGTCAAAGCCAGTGAGCAGACCTCCTCCTCCTCATCGAGTAAGCCCAAGGAGTCAAAGGCCAAAGAGGAGCCCAAAAAGCCTTCAGCAGCAGCAGCCGCAGCAGCTTCCAGCTCAAAGTCGGCCACGAAGGAGTCCTCAAAAGAGAAAGAGAGCGAGAGCAAATCTTCAAAGGTGAAAGCAACCATGGAGGAAACTGCCCCCAAAAAGCCATCACCTAAACCGTCTCCGCTGAAGGATGATGAAAAAAAGAAGCCACCGCCACCACCACCACAAGTGCCTGCTAAAAAGCAAGAGCTGACGCCGAAGAAGAAGGAGCAGCAGCAGCAGCCTGCTAAGAAAGAGCTCACGCCCAAGAAGGAGCCGACGCCCAAAAAGAAGGAGCAGACACCTAAAAAGGAGCCGCCCAAAGCTTCGGAGCCTGCTAAAGCGGCAAAAGCCCCACTTTCTTCCTTCACCACCACCACCACCACGGCACTTCCCCGTCTGCCCGAGACGAAGCGAGTCTCCGACCTGTGGGTGGACAAGTACCGGCCGAGCAGCACCAAGGCGGTGATTGGCCTGCAGGGCGAGCGCAGTCCGATGAACAAGCTGCGGAAGTGGCTGCGCAACTGGCACCTCAACCTCGACCAGAAGCCGGTGGGAAAGTGGGGCGGCGGTGGCGGCGGAAGTGACGACGGCGCCGGCCTCCGTGCCGCCCTCCTCAGCGGCCCGCCGGGCATCGGCAAGACGACGACGGCGCAGCTGGTCTGCGCGGAGCTCGGCTACGACTACCTCGAGCTGAACGCCTCGGACGTGCGGAACAAGCGGTCGCTGCACGAGGACGTCGGCGAGCTGCTGGCCAACACCAAGCTGACGAGCTTCTTTGGAAAGGCGGCCAA